TTATTTAATTTTGTAGTCCAATGACCTACAAAGTCCGTGCTTTCTTTGTAAATTATAAATGACCAGAATATATTTCGATGGTGATGGTGACTGGCTGAATCCCGGAAAGACCTTAGTAAAAATTGTCCAGATTTTTACCTGGCAAGCTACTTATCTCACCTAGTTAAAATTGTGTTTTGTGGGTGGAGATGGAGAATAGGCATTCCTAGAACACAAACCATGGTGGCCATTATTTGGTTCTCCTCAGGTAAATCAAACTAAACCAAAAACAAAACCAAAAAGCCCCACTAAACCTGCTACTGTTGAGTTGGATCTGACTCAGTAGTTTCAACTTATGCATCTAGCTGCATCAAGAAACATGAAGGTAGGGAAGAAAGTTGAGTATGTAGGTAAAAGTATGATGAACAATAATGCTTGTGCTACCTGAAGTTGAAAATGAGAAGCTTTGTATGAGGAACAGGAGATGATTTCAAATCAGCACACACTGGTTATCTAGCTTCAGGGCAGTGTGTGCAAGCTAAGAGCCATGGAGGATATCTAGAGTACAGCTGCACCCTTGAGTAATGTCAATTAAAATTGGGACTAGGTATGGATGTACACTTAAATGGCTAAGTCACAGTTGAAGACCATGCATGAAGAAGGCCCCATAAGGCATAGAAGTCCCAGGAGCTGTTGGGAAATGAAGGGAAGCTTAACTGTGCAGCACTCCAGTATGCAAGAGCCCAGGATGGTGATGAGGTTTGGCTTTGGAGCACACGGTAGTGTGTTCTGGTTCTTACATAATTATAGGAGATCATCTAGTCCATTTCTTTGCTGCCAGGCATATGCTCAGAGTCTGGGAAAAAAATTCATGTACTATTGGAAGGTCTCACTGGTAGTTTTCAAGTGATGAGAGTAGTAATAGTCCATGAACCCATATTCAAAACTCTTGGGGCTACACATGTTTCATAATGCAGCAAATTTTGGTGGAAAATAATAGAGTGCATATTTTGTATATCACACTCTGGAGTCTAAGGCTGTGATCCCTATAAATAAAAATAGTATTTCTTTAGCAACATACTAAATGGGATAAATAAAAACCATAAGCAGCTTCATATTTCTGTAGGTCAGGTTTAGTTACCAAATAGTCATTTTAGGGTATACCCTCAAAAAAGAGTTGTAAGAAAACTTTAAAAAAATTGGAATCATGATAAAATATAGATCCATTGATGGTAACAACAACAATAATAAATAAAGTTGATAACATTTATTAACCAATATTGAGCATTTATCTGCCAGGCACTGTTCTAAGAACTTTACCTATTTACTCTTTACAACAACCTTTTGAGATAGGTCCTATCATTATTATTACTTTTTTTAAAAGGTTTTTATTGTGGATTGAGTGAAAGTTTACAGGGCACATCATCAGTTTCACATTCAACAATTCATATAACTTGTTTCATCACATTGATTATA